TACAGAAGAGGAAATGTAGACACCATAGGCGCTAAATATTAGGTCGTTCCATAAGTTCGTAGCGTTTTCATTTTCGTCGTCGTTTTCTGGTGAAGCAGTTGGTTTACGGCAAATTATCTGGTATTAATCGAAACAGCCAAGTTTTCTCTACAAAACCTGCTTGTTGTTTTTGAAGCAATCCTGATGATCTCTGGTCCATGATTTCTCAAAGTAAGGTTTTTTGAGCGGCAGAAAATGGCCATTTCGGCACCTGTACTTTTCGTACGCATTTCGTCCATATCCCACAAATATTTCTCTGTATGTGTAGTCGGAGTAGCAAGTAGCAAGCAACGCTGATGTGCTGACACAATGGTGTCCAGCCAATATGCTAAGAACTGTTTGAACGAAGTCTCAAAAGTTGCTGTCTTCGACTGCTGCAGCTTGAGTTTTACGCGTCGTTTCGTAACAGAATGCTCTCGTCCTGTCCTATCAAGCCTTGAGCGATGGACAGCTTTGTCTAGGTGGTGCAAAAGTTTTAATCCAATCGGTGACCGGCGATTTTACGCTTCCCCGAAAAATTTTGGCTCAGAAAACTTCCTCGTTCGGCCAAACGCAAAACATCTACACATACCGTAAGAGTGCGCTCTATCATTCACTGTAGCGTCTCTCTTAATAGGGATTCTTGCTTTACGTGCATCAAAGTCCGGTAAACAGTATTCTTCATCACTCATAACAATTTCGAATAGAAATTTTCCTCTCGTAATTTCCGTATATAGCGCTGAAGATGGAGATGCCGAAAGCGCCATTTCTTGCTACACAAAAAACTCTGCTTTGAGCAGTCACAAAACAAAAGTCTTAAGGTTTACTTTGAAAATAAAACGCAGTTCTCGTAGAGTAGAATTGGGTCTTTCGGAGGGTACACACATTTTGCGGTAAACTTACCGCTTCACCAGAAAACGACGACAAAAGTAAAAACGCTATGAACTTATGGAACGACCCAATATATCTAGATGCGCAATGGGGAGTTGGAACTTTGTATGAAAAATTATAAAAAAAAATCCTGTGAATTGTATGCGCAAGCTTTTTTTTAGAGTTAGGTGACTTCTGAGCTACATGGAGAGCCAAACATGAATGACAAAGAAGAAAGAACAAATTACAAGAACAACACGGCGATTGATCGCATTCTCCGAATTGGCGGCATACTGTGTTCGGTGCGCACCACCGCGCGCTAGGAGCAGGTTGCCGCCGCCATTGAAAAAATTTTTAGGGGCTGTAACTAAGCATGAGGAGGGGGTTTGGGCAGGTTCACAAACTAGTTCGTAGGTTCGGATGTGAATGCAGATATGTAATAAGTTTGAAATTATGTGAGGGGAAGAAAATTCGTGACTTCGTTTCCTGAGCCACTTCAGGTGCCTTTTGCACTTTGTCCTTATCGGGCTCTCTCTTAAAGGCAGTGGACAGGCAAAATGGACCCCTGTCAGATTTTGGTAGTTTCGGGTAGTGGACCCCCCAAGTACACCGTAGCCCCAACCCCAACTTCCAATTGATGCGCTAAGTCCTGAAAAAAGCGCTTCAAACTTCCACCAATAACGCCCACTCAATGCAAGTGGGCGGGGCTGGTGGAGTTTTGAAGCGCTTTTTTCAGGACTTAGCGCATGAATTGAAATTTGGGGTTGAGGCTACGGTGTACTTGGGGGATCCACTACCCGAAACTACCAAAATCTGACAGGGGTCCATTTTGCCTGTCCGCTGCCTTTAAGCAATTGCTGCCGCAATGCTGACCAGTCAGAGGCGCGCACTGATGAGGCTGCTATGGCGACCGGTGCAGAAGGGCCGTTTGCGTTTCCCATGTTGAGGTTTCATTGGATTTTTAGACCCTGCTGCTCATCACATTCAAAAAAAGCTGTCACGTGCTCAGCTCAGTCAGTTTACATATCCGGAAGCTATCATTGCTAAGCATGCCAGAGCCTCTTAGGCAAGAGTCTAGCGGAGTTCTTGGCATCCGTTTTGTAGGAGTCTACACAAAGAGAATAAACCCGTGCCGCCAACGTGCACGAACAGCCGGCGTACGCGCCCTCACAGAAATACAACTTTTCTTACCCTTCTTGCTTGTGTGCGTTAACGTCCACAGTATACTTGGGACCGAATCGAATAATTATTCGATCATTCGAATAAATCATTCGAACGCGAATGATTCGAAATGTCGAATATTCGAAAATCTGAAATTTCGAATAAAATTCGAGAGTCGAATATTCGTAATTTTCAGTTTTCGAATATTATTCGAAAGTCGAATATTCGAAAATCTTAAATTTCGAATATTATTCGATAGTCGAATATTCGAAAGTCATTCATTCGATCATTCGATGTCCATCAAATATTCGAATATTCGTTGAGCACCGAATATTCGGAAATTCGATAAGAATTGACTATTCGAAAATTCGATAAGTACCGAATATTCGAGAATTCGATATGCATAGCGTATACGGGATGTTTAAAAGTATCTACACACCGTTTGATCGCTAATACCTCTGTCTTTTGCCAATTTCTGGGTAACATCCAGTAGGGATGGCTTCAGCTTATAAATACAGCAGAAAGCGAATCACCCATGTTTTTTTTATTGTGTGTTATCACAGTAGGAAACTCCAGCTTATAGACCGACTGCAAAATAAGACATCCAAAAAAATTGTCCCCAAAAAAGGTCTAAAATCTGTGCAGCAGTGTTATTACGTATGCTGATTTTACTACGCACGAGCTTTCAAGCTTTTCAAATGGCAATCACATCTCTGGAAGGCGCTACAAAACACTTTTTACGGTGTATCGTTTGTTCCTCAGCAAATTTCCCTTAGGGTACCACGTTATGTCGCTGCCTTTCGCTATTTTGAACGTGTTAAGCTCGGGCAGTTCCGTTGAAATCTTAGGAGAAACGTGTCAAAAAGAGCGAAATGCAGCGTCGCACCACGTACGCACGCTGGTGCACATGGGAAGTTTTCTGGGGGACACAGGATACTTGGCGTAAGTTTTGAAAAAAGCATAACGGATGAGTGCAAATTTTACATAAAGTGAGTGTCTTTAGAAATCTAAAGCAAGACTTTCAGCACTTTTGATTCTTTTTCTTGGTGAAATGGTCTTGATGTTTTGAAACCTGCTTCAGTCTTACGGTAATTTCACAACAGTGAAAAGCGATTGATAAATCGCCCCATACTCTAAGTTGATGTCAGCCTACAGATCTACATACTGTCGGGACCGCTGTATATCCAATCGCAACTCTCAGTGAGGATGTATAATCTTCTTTGAAATACGAAAAATCTCTTCACAACCGTCACAGGAGTAGCTTTTAGGTTCCTAAGTCTCTTCACGTCACGACTAAACCGTTTTTCCATCGTAAATTGTACCATAAGAATGCGTCCATTCTTAGCACTTACATGAAACAATTTATTCTTAGTGTTTTGGCCTTTCATAGGCAGTCTCAATGACGTAAATTATTCGGTCAGTATTCGAAAATCGAATGATATTCGAAAATCGAATAACATTCGAGGACCGAATAATAATCGAAATTCGAATAACGAACGATATTCGATATTCGAATATTATTCGATTCGAAATTTTCATTTTCGAATAATATTCGATAGTCAAATATTCGAGAATTTCGATTTTCGAATAATATTCGAAAGTCGAATATTCGAAATTTTCAAATTTCGAATAATATTCGATAGTCGAATATTCGAGAATTTCAATTTTCGAATATTATTCGATATTCGAATATTCGAAATTTTCAATTTTCGAATATATTCGATATTCGAATATTCGAAGAAAATTTCGAATTTCCCCAAGTATAGTCCACAGTGGACGCCGCGTTCTAAAGAATTCGCGGGGTTGCTTTTATTCTCGAAAGGGTAGTGGATGGACGAGCACGGATGGTTGGGCATTACTGGAGTTGCCGCCTAGGGGTCTCCTGCTCTCTCCGCTATTCCGGAACGATTTTCTCGCTTAGTGACACTTTGCGCCGCGACTTGGGCGTTGACTTCATAAGGGGTCCTACTATTGCAAGCAGTCAAAAGCTCAAGACGCCCAACTTAGGCTTCGTATATACTTGACAAGACGTATAGCGGGTAAATCTTTGCTGTCTCCGCTGCTTCTAGCTGCTCGTAGTGCTGCGCATGGGTGCAAGGGCAAGATATTACCCGTCCTAGTTTATCTAGACCAGATTAGTAGAAAAATGAGCTGAATAGATCGCATAGCTGATAGTTATTATTTATCAGAGATATCATACCGCTCTTATTATAAAGTTTTCTTTGTGTGAGCATACAGCGGCAAACTAAATTCTGCACTTACTGAAGAAATTAGAATAGTTTGACAAATGTTAAGCTGAAGGTCCAGCATGACCCTTAGTGCACTTGAGGCAGCAGTTAAACTGACTGCCGTTCATATAAGAAGGCGGGCCGGCGACATCTCACTTTAATAAATAATTGCCTCTATCTGTAATCTTACTCTAGTTCTTCAAAGTTTCATGCACGTGCGCTCGATTAGATTTCTTTATACATCTCTGCATTTGCCTGTCATAATTCAGAATAGCGACAAATGCTCTGAAAACACAAAAAAAAAACGGTAAGAAGAGGCAAATCCGAGCAAAATCAGCTGATAGCAGCATGGAGCAGCTGAGAAAAGCGCGCAAAAAGTGAGCTTCATATCGCGTAGCAGCAAGCAGCAGCAGCTAGCAGCGAAAAGCAGTGCAGCATCGCTAGCTATAGCGGGCCTGTATCGCGTTGGCTAGCTAGGAGCAGCAGCGTCACCCGACGTCATATGCACAAAAGGCGTTGCTGCTGGTAGCGTCTTATCGTCAATTATAGCGACCTATCGTCGGGTATATATGAAGACTTAGGGTGGACGGCATCTTTGAGTAGACTGTGTGGATGTTGGTTTCCAAAACTTCACGCAACTCTGTTGAGCGAATTTCAGTGAGGAAATTGCAATGTTTCCGGTGATAATTTTCCGAGATATTCGGCTTATGAAACTATTTACAGCTCGAGGATAGCCAGCGTATGGTGATCGAAACTGATCCCAATTTCGTGCTCACAATGTTTTTGCTGGTTGCTTTCGTTCTCTCATGGCTGCCTTTACTTTGTCTCAAGGTGTTCGAGTACTTTGTTCCTCCACAGAGCGATGCCGATCTTTCGCTGGTAAGTTTATTTAGGAGTATACTTTCATTGCATCATATTCTCGATTTGGATGCTAAAGGTCTTATTCACAAAGTATTAATTGGTCATTTAGGCCACTTTCATCTTTGTGTGGTTGGCTATCGCAGGACCGTCGGCTAAATTCCTTATATATATGTTCATAAATGGAGCTTTTCGTAGCAGTTTTTTATCTTGGAGACCATGTATTACGGTTTGCTGTCCTCTCAGCAGAAATCCAGACTATCGCGACATAGCCTCAAATTCGTACTTATAGTACGAGTATCGCTTTTGACATAATCCGTTTTACTCATTGTTATGATCTTATCGACGATCTTACCTTGCTGAGCGCGATACAAAAGCCCAGGTCCCAAGAAAATGGTGAAGCTCCACTTTTTCACTCAGTCATAGTTCCTATCCAGATGTTTCCTAATTAATAGCTATGTAGAAGTACATGTGTCGATGCCAATACGATTGCAACATGTGTGATAGTGGGGAAATTCGTACTTGTATGCTTTTCCATCTTTTTCATAGTATATGCTTTTCGGTCTGTTTTATGACCTGTCTTCATCCTAATGAAGTAATTTCAATTACTTATAGGGTAACGAAATCTTACAGTTCGGGTTGTTCGCACTGTGCTAGACCTCATCTGAGTTTTCATAACATTATTCGCTTCAAATTTCTGTCTGCTGTTGCTCAGAATCATGTTCTTTTCTCAATTACTCTCAGTTTCAACTAGTCTTGTTCTAGTATTTTTATTTTACATTGATCTCTAGAATGATATCGTACAAAGCCATCATTACTGCTTTGAAAAGTGATAGCCAGATTTCATATTTATGTTATGAAGTGCAAAGCAGCTGCCAGGAAATTTTGCAGCCTTATCTTGATAAATCAATTCGTACTGTTCGATTGTAGAGTTCTAAATATAAGTGCGCAAGGAAGTGCGCGCGTTATGAATTGATCTGGCTAGTATTATTGAACCGAATTTAACGTAATTATAAGAATGGAGACATCTATTCTTTGCAGTAATTCAGAACACTCATTCTTTTCCGATCTGGAAAAACTTTTTTTTCGAGGTTTTATAGCGTTGTAATGACATTTTCCACTGGAAGAGCACGTGCAGCGGTTTTCCTGAGATAACTTATGAAGTAAGCATGGCTGTGATCAAATTTTATATTCAAAATCAGCGACGCTTATTAGCTAGCATAGAAGTTTCTGGCTTGTGTTTTCTTTCCGGGACGAAATGTGCACCTAACACATTGACGACAAGGCCGATTTTTCGATTATTGCCAATTCGGACAGGAGCCTTTTTTGCTTTGCCAAACTTACGACCCACCCGTGGGATTGTCCGAAATGACAGTCTTTTTGGAAAGGTCCAGTACATGAATCCGGAACTTCCTCAAGGGGGTTATCGGATGTGCTGGTTACGAAAATGGCACTCATTTTACTTGCTAGGACCTCAGTATAAGGTTACGGCAGTCATACGGTAGGCGACAAGAGATCACGAATTTTTGCGAAAATTTGTGTTTTGGGGTTAACGAAAGTGCTGTTTACGAAAATGGCACTTACTTTACTGGCTAAGGCCTTAGCATAGGGTTACGGTAGTCATACGGTGTGTGACAAAAGATCACGAATTTCTATGAAAACTTGTGCTTTGGGGTTATCGAAGGTGCTGATTATGGAAATGACACTTACTTCACTCGCTAAGGCCTTAGCATGGGCTTGCAATAGTCATACGATAAGTGATAAAAGGTCGCGAATTTTGTGAAAAAAAACCCCTCTCGTAGGATACGTTGGTATGCTGATTGCAGAAGTGTTCTCTTTCATTCGGTAGTGAGTCGAAATTGCGGAAATATAAAAACGAAGCAGATTGCCGCAAGAAAGAAACTATTTCCCTGAACAAAGGGGTGTGTGTAAAAACTGGTGCTGTGCCTGCAGCGCAGGGTCCCCAAACGTTTTCTACAGTAACATCATAGTCTGAGCGAGTGCGTAGGAGCATCCATCGTAACTTAGTGCATATACAACACGCCTTATCGACATGAGCGTTGATCCGGTACGTCCAAAAGTCAGTCGCGATGTTTTTTTTACAATTCAAGTTCCTCGTAGATGAGAGTAGATGATGTTGGCGAAGATGAAATAGCGACAGTTTCGAGCGTCTCCTGATCGAAAGTGACGAGGAAGCTGCTCTCACCGCGGACGAAATCACTCAAGAGGATACGCAAATTGAAGAAGACGAAAAGATTGAAGATGAGGAATCCACCGACGAATTGGATACCAATGATTCATGTCAGATACTATCACTACACATGATGGATGGTATTTCGATGATGGTCGCGGTATTGATCATGCCATATTAGACTCCTGTTCATCTCCTATCGATTTTTTCAATCTCTTCTTTACTACGGAGGTCATTGACCTTATCGTTGTTGAAACAAATAGGTACGGATTAGCCAAAGAACTCGCGTGGACACCAGAGGCAGAAGAATTAAAGAAGTTCGTAGACTTATGTCTTCAGATGGGAATTGTATGTTTACCCGCTTTAAGAGGTTACTGGAGCACTAGGCGTGTTTTTGGTGGGAATCCAATCGGGACCCAAGTCATGACACGAGTTAGGTTTGAAAAACTTGGATATCTTTCTCGTTGACAACGCTACTACGATGGGACCGACAGGCCATACAAGATTTCGGCTCTTATAAATTTATTCAATGCCACGTGCTAACGGATTTTTAGACCACAAAAGAAAATTTGCATTGACGAATCGATAGTTCCGTTTCTGTGGAAGGCTACTCTTTCGACAATACATACCCAACAAGCGCCACCGCTACGGGATTAAGATGTTCAATGTGTTCCAAAGGCGGATTCACCTACAAAATAATGGTTTACGCTGGAAGAGACCAGTCTAGAAAGGAAAGCCTGGTTGAACATATAGTCATGAAGCTGAGAGAGATTTACTCGATAGAGGACGACATTTATACACGGACAACTGGTACACTAGGGTATCCCTGGTTGAAAAGTTTTTGAAGAGAAAAACCATCTCCTTGGCACCATCAGAAGAAATCGGAAAGGTCTACCGAAAGCAGTAGTGGAAAGGAGATTGAAGAGAGGCGAATCTGTAGCACAGCACGATCTAGGAATCACTGTACTGAAGTGGCGCTACAAGAGAGATGTTCTCATGTTATCAACCTTTCACGATGACAAAAAGGAAGGATGAGCAAGGAAAGTCGCTGATTATTCGAGATTACAAGAAATCGAAATTATTCGTTGATACAAGCGACCAAATGGCCTCGTACAACCTTTCGTGAAAAAAACAAGCAAGTGGTACATTCATCTATTCTTTCACATTTTCACCCAGACAACACTCGTAAATGCTTGGAGGTTGTACAGCGACTACGTGAGGAAAGTCCATCTGACGAAATAGAAGTGATAGAGTCGCTATTAGATCTCAGAGAAACAACCTCTGCTCCTAGATACACCCTAGAAGAGATTCATGGCCCCAAATCTGCTATAAGGAAAAGATGCGTTGCTTGCTGCAAAGTTAGCAAGAAGGAATGATCACGCTTTGCTGATAAAAATGCTCGAAAAGTCAATACGAGGTGCAGTCGTTATTTGAAACATTTTTGCGTAGACTGTTTCAGTAAACATAAGTGCTCCACTCTGAACTGATTTATCACCTTTGCCCAGTGGCGTACCCAGGATTTCGGCTCGGGGGGGGGGGGGGGGGCGACAAAAAAATTTTTCTAATGAAGGTGCGTGGCGTTAGCCACGCACTCCGAAAAAATTTTTGGGGGGCTTCTCAAAATTTTTGCGGGTCCTCAACCCCTAAAAGTCGGAAAAAGGGGGCGTGGCTGACGCCACGCCCCCGAAAAAATTTTTTTATAAGGCTAAAATGAATTTTTAAAAAATTTTAAAAATTATTTTAATTATTTACAAGTGCAGACAAGTCATTTGCACAATTTTATAACCCATATAAGTAACTTTCAAAAATTCCGCGACCCGTTCTCGGGGGGGGGGGGGGCGCCCCCCCCCCCCCGCCCCCCCTCGGTACGCCACTGCCTTTGCCTTATGTCATGTCTTTTTGTGCTCATGTGTGTAATTGAAGCTCATTTGCTCACTGTATGCAACCGAAACTTGGAATTTTTCATACCTGAATCACTTCTTATGATGGATTTGCTTTCACTAAATGAATTATATCTGTGTTGTCTGAGGCAGACCAGAAGTCATCTTCAAAGTGTTATCTGCATCTGCTGTGCATGCAAAATATCATACGCAAACCGAGGCAACGCTGCATGAGCAATTCAAGGTCAAAAAGTAATCTTTGGTGATCTAGGATATCATCATGCTAAACTGCCATAGCTCAATTCTTCGTGTTGTGGAGCAAAATGACCTGTCATGATCCAAAATAAGCTATGATAAAAAAAATGTCCGTCTTTAAGCATGTGCACATAAATAACAGGATGAAATCACATCATTCTACACGTCCCTGAGTGAGATTATGCCCTCTTGCGCTGCCTACGATATACCTACCGTGATTCTAACATACAGTAATCTGAAGCCGGACTATGGCGATCGCAGCATCGTCTAGGTATCTCCAACCATATGCTAGAATTCCATGGAGTTCTACCGTAAACTGGCAAAGTTAGAGCTTCGAAAACTTACGACCCACCGGTGGGTCGTATTGTCGTCAATGTGAGGCAATCGATCAGCAGAATGTACCCTTTTCGGATTTGGGTGGATTTGGGTAGTAGATCCCCAAATACACGTAGCCCAAACCCCATCTGCCAATTCATGTGCTAAGTCCCGAAAAATGGACTGTGGAGTTTCAAAGCGCATTTTTCGGGACTTAGCACATGAATTGGCAGATGGGGTTTGGGCTACAGTGTATTTGGGGGGTCTACTCCCTAAATCCACCCAAATCCGAGAAGGGTCCATTCTGCTGATCCACTGCCTTTGAGGGCAGTGTCCGGGCAAGATGGGGGTTTTGGGATTTCAGTGTCATGCGAGAGTGGCCCACCTCAAACACAACATCGCGCAAGTGCGTCGTCATAACGCTCGACCTAAAGCAAGAAAAACGACCGGAAAGTGGGGAACTTACGCCTTGGGGTGGGGTCCTCCGAGCGGTCCGAATTCCTGCTATGCGGCAAAGTACGCATGCGGCCACAGTTAGAATGTAGGGTCCCGCAGCGACTCTGCGTCTCTGCCTTGGTGGGGACCGTCGAACTTCAAATTGTGCGGATTTGAAAAACGAATATTCTCGCCTTTTTTGCGCCTTCTAATGTGGGTTTTCGGATTCAGCGTTGCAGATAACCTCCGGTAGGTGGATTTTCCAAAAATCGAGTTTTTGCCCGGACACTGCCTTTAACGGCTTCAAACCCTCTTCAAATTTCCTACCTTAATCCTACAGCTGGCGAAAGACATTTCGGGACACCCTTATGTGCCGATAGGCTCCACCCCGCGCGAACAGCTAGCAAAAATCTGAGGCATTATTTATTAGTCTCACGCTCGCTGTTCGGACGCACTCCATTGATATACACGGCCCGGATAGCCGAGAGCGTCCAAAAAGTTATTTCTGTGAAGTTGGTTAGCAGGGCCTGAACGGGCAGCAGAGCCCGATCTGTCGAGATTAGGCCTGCCGTGCCCGACATGACCAAGCTTGCCAGATCGGACTCCTGAACCCCTCAGATGAGATCCAGACAGTATGATTGTAATGGGAGTTTCTGATAATTAATGTGGTTCAACCCATCCTTCCATTTCATACCATTTGATATGAACTGTACTCATTGAGCCAAATATAAGAGTTCTTAAAGAACATGTCTGCATTTCAAACTTATCCCACTGCTATGAATTGTCCTAAAATACAAAATATTCAACGAATTACTGATATTTAAAACGAATTAACCGTTTCTAGCACTCTTAAAGAAAAGCGACTCTAATCCCTTAATCATTTTTCTGATATGATCACTAAATGTGCATATAAATGCAAAAACTGTGTTCGAGGATTGGGAGAAAAGAAAAGAAAGACGATGAAAAACGACGGGTTTTCATGTGTTATATGCGGACTTTACGCCAGCAGGTGTTTTCAATATGCGCCCGCTCGCACTGCTGGCGTGCTGCTCTCCACAGTATGTTCCCGAACATGCATGAGAGGATGTACGGGAGATTGAATACCGCCTCTGAAGTGTCTATGATATGTCCACTGCGTCGTCTGTTGTAGATCCGTGAGACTACCGCTTTCGGCGACATACAGTCTCCTTCTCCATTTCGCTCAATAAGAGTAAAAATTCGTACGCATAGATGGAGTGAACTAGGAAGTGGAAACTGTATGTCTGTTTTGAAAGAAGCCTCCGCGAGCGTAGAAGACGCAGATACAGCTTTCACCAGAAACTGCAGTCATTTCAATGATTGCATGTTTAAAACTTCCGGTGCTATAAGAATGAAGGTACAGTGCGTTTAACGAGGCCAGCGCCGCGTAGTGCAGTCACACATCTACGCGCAGCGTGCAGGGACCATGTTGCGCACAACATCGCGGGCCTTGTTTTCACTATTGTGACTCGTGACTTTCCGTTTTTGTAGCAGCGAATTGCCATTTTCTTGCTTCCATACCCACGTGCAATCTGTCCTGATACCGGATAAGATTGTTGAGGTTAGAGTGCTCTAAGTTAATCCAGAATCGGTCTTTTCAAACAATTCAGACAACTGTGCATGCTTTGTCGCAGACATATTTGAATTTATTGTAAGGTTGCAAAACCTCCAAATCTTTATCTCTTGCGCGACACTCGAATTTGACAATCCAGAAATTCTTTAGGTGGCCCAATAAAGCTATGAGATTGCCGTCTTCATGTAATCTGCACCTCTGGAGTTGAACCCTATAAAAGTGAATTTTGTAGATTCCTTAAAGGCAGCGTCCGGGCAAAATTTCGCCTCTCATGTTTCTGCCATTCTGGGGCCTTCCCGTGGCCCTGAATACAGTTGTAAAGTCCAAATTGTTCAACACCCCCAAAAAACCCGATTCTTGGGGACCCTCTCTTCAAGAAGCGGACGAGTTTCGGATTGCTCGTCCCCATCGCATTCCAGCGGGAAAAGCGGCAACCGCACGGATGCAGTTGCATTGCAGTGTGCAGTGCAACTGCAATGCAACTGCAATGCAACCGCACACCTGCGTAAGCACTCGTCCTCAGCGGTGATTTGTGATACGAAGGGGCAGTTTGTGATACGTATCGCAGGCCCGTATCTCCTTTTGGAGGCCACTTCAAAGATTCGGACCAACGCAGATCGGATACTCATGGGCCCCTCTCTATAACTATATGCTAACCTGGGTGGATGGATCTTGCCCGGACGCTGCCTTTAACGAGACAAGATA